TTTATCAGTAAGTCAAATGCTAATTGACGTTTTTCATACTGATTGTTAGACAATTATTTACACACTGAGTTGTCGACGGATTTTTCTGATATTTCTAGGCAATTGTAACCCGTTGGAAGGGGATACTCCATCTTCCATAGCTTCTGATCACGTCTCTGATGTTTTGGAGGTCCCTATTTCCTCTGATTCTATTTTGTACATATGTATTACTTTGAGCTTGAATACTGTTCGTTATCTCCATATATTCCATCCAGGTTGTTTCTAAAAACCATTTTCTCATTTACCTCAAACCGATCACACCTCTGATGTTTTTGAGGTCCGTATTTTCTCTGATCACACATTTGAAGATGTATACGAACAGTATTCAAGCTCAAAGTGAAACAAAATGAAATCAGAGGAAAAACGGACCTCCAGAACATCAGAGGTGTGATCAGAGGTGTGATCTGTCTGTGTTCAATTCTTAAAAAGTAACAGAACGTTTTATTGTATTGTTCATATGAAATGCAATGAAACTACATGTATTTTAAAATCGGAATTTTTTACCTTTGTATTTTCCATGCAGAGAAATATTCGAAATCAAATAGACTAATCCGTTAAGATAACACAGTCGATAGAGCGCTCGTTTCCTAGTCAGTAGACTCGGGTACCGTCAAATCTAAGTCGAAAAATAGCAAGTAGAAATGTTCCTTTGCCAAGAGCTCGGTATATAGAATGAAAATTGCAGGTTATTTCAGCTAGACCCCCGTAAAATGACAAAAGTTAGCATTATAAAGAATCCTCAACAAAGGTTTTGATTGTCATTTGAAACCCAACGACGTTACATGTATCTGTTCAAGATTATACTCCAGTAAAATATGGCAGGTATTAATATACCGGTTAAAACGCATACGAGTGTTCCTATATCACACAGTATTACTGTATGCAATATATTTTATTTTCATTGTCACAAGTTTAACTTGGATTATATATATATAATTTCTTAAACAGAACTGAGACTGGGCGAATTGAAAACGGGGCAAAATTGTTTGCAAGTGTAAAAGGGCGAAATTAACATGGGGCAAAAATAACCCTGTATACTCGTACAGTAATACGCATTTACTTGTCAAAATTACAATGACCTTGAGGTTAGCGATATAATTTATGATATGAAATAATTAAAGAAGGAACTTAATCTCTAACCTTAGCAGTGTTTATTCTTATGAGCTACGGCTAACAACAATTTTATCATTTCATAGATGAAGTTCATTTTTAGTATAACCTTATAATAAGCAAACTCTCTCTGTAGTATCTTCAAAAGCTGTGTTTATTCTTATGAGCTACGGCTAACAATTTTATCATTTCATAGATGAAGTTTATTTTAGTATAACCTTATAATAAGCAAACTCTCTCTCTGTAGTATCTTCAAAAGAATCTGAACGAAAATATAATACATACAATGATATATTTAATAAATTTTGCATTTTACAAAGCTCACACTAAAAAGGTAAGTTAAAAATATAATTATCATATACAATAATTTCTTGCAATCAGATTAAAACTGCTACAGTGGCGTTTTAGTATAATGTAAAATATCAATTTATTTTCTTACATTTAAAAATGTCATTTGACAAAATTTAAATCTATGAAACTTACAATAGAAACATCTATCTTAAATTTGTTTACTTGTGTACCGGTTTCTTAGATCTAAAATTTAAGGACTTTTAAATAGATTAAATAAATCCGGCATTTTAAATAGATTTCAGAGAGACAGAAATATAAGCCATTACCAGTGCACATTTTAATGATATATAATCAACAAAGCTCTAAAATTGTTTCAAAAAACAAGGGAAAGTTTAAGATATGGTCTTTGCAATATTATTACATCTTTTTCTACTATTTTTTTAATATTTTTTTTACCAATTGTTATAACTGTTGACAATTTTATTCACTCTACCTTTAGGACAGATGATACTAACAAAAAGAATGGATGCATAGATGCATGGATTGGTATATATTCTTGGGTCTATTTTTGCAATTAATATATTTTTAAAATATCAAGAAATTTCAAAACTTCCATGATGTTCAAAATTCTACCTTCTTGCAACCTTCCTTATTAATATATACAAATACTTTTCACTTCAAATCGCATTTTTGTGAAATTTTGAATGAAAAATTAAAAACTACGCGGTAAAACTTGTTCATTTTATCAAGTTATTTATATATTTTTTGACAAAAGTTTGTTTGTACATGTATTATCTGTCCTTAATTACATATACTTATATCGATCATTAAAGCAGCTGAATCATTTTTTTACTTCACTGTTGTGTGTACTATTTTCAAATTGAAAACAGATACAAAGAATAAAATAGCTCTTTAATAGAATTTATTATGGTTATATTTTTACGACCCATCACTAAATTCTTTGTAAGTACGTATTTCGCAGTTACGTTGTAATAAAATCTTACATAACTACATATAGCTTTTGGGAGATGAGTGTGCAATAAAAGTGCCACAGACTGAAAAAATAAAACTCAAAATTTGAAGTTAATAATACCTTGTCTTTGAAAAACACGTCATAAATCTATAGGTATATTATGAACGTCCTCGAAAATTTGGTGAACGTTGCACGGTTGCAGATAAAAATGTCAATAAATTCAACATTTAACAAGTAAATAAGAACAATCATTTAAAGTTTCTTTCGAGAACATCTTTAACAGTTATACCAATCCTTATTTAAATCGCTTGTGGTAGCATTTTTTAATACCTGTGCTATTCAAGAATCTCTTGGTTACTACATTTTATAATTTTTCTAAAAAAAAATAATAAATGCCCTAACAAGAGAGTTCTTCCGTGAGCATTCATTCAAACTGTACAAAATTTAAAATAAACTAAGACTTTCTAGATACAAGTGAAAGCGTTATTAGTTACTTTTTTGAGACTATTCAGTCGCTGAATGACAGAAACATTTCAATTTTCCTACAGAAACCTATCTTTCAGTTTTATTCCAATCGTCATTTTAGAACTTTCATCGGCTTCTTATTGATACACAAGTAAACTTTTCCTAACAAACATTTATAATAGAGATAACGAACAGTATTCAAGCTCGAATTTTTTTTTCAAACAGTACATACGTAGGAGCAAACACGGACCCTTAAAACATCAGAGGTTGGATCAGGTGACAAAGAGGAGTGAGTATCCCCTTCCAACCGGTCACACGTTTTTATATCATGTTTTAATGTATTTCTGGTATTGTTAATGGAATAAGAATTTTTAGGTAGAAATTACTAGTAGTATTGCATTGAGCTGGTAAATTATGATATAACTCAATTAAGTTTGATTTGTTTTAGAAAACTGATCATGATTTCGCCCCTTTTTCTCTTTCTGTAAAATTGCTAAATCGGTGACAAATATTTTCAAAAGTTAAAATTCTTTATTGTTGAAATAAAAAAATTCTTTAGTTTTAAAAATCATTTCACACTGTTTTATGGATTTTTTTAAAAGTAGAATAAACAACAGTCCGAGATGTTAGTTAAGGACAGATAATACAAACAAACGTTTTGCATTAAAATTGAAAATAACAACCTGAGTCATATTTCCATACGTAAAATGAGCAAATTTAACAGCGTTGCTTTGAATTTTTCATTCAAATTTATTCAAAAATGGGGAAATGGAAGTGAAAATATTTGTATAGATTAATAAGGATGGCTTAGAAAGCTAGAATTTTGAACATCATAGAAGGTTTAAGTTCTATGGTTGATACAATGACCTTGAGAGCAAATACAATTCATCATTCAGATAAATGCTGATTGACTTTTTCCATACTGATTATTAGAATATTTTATACACATTGAATTGACGACGGATTTTCCAGTTATTTTCCGATAATGACAAGGAGCACACGGCAGGTAAGACCGATTGGCAGGGGTGCTCTTTCCTCCATGGCACCATATCCTACCCCTGAGTTTTTGGAGTTCCGTGTTTGCTCTGCTCATATTTTGTACTGTATAATGGACTTTTGAGCTTGAATACTATACAATCATAGACTCTTTGGGTGTTGAATATGGTTTGTTATTCACCATAAAAATATCAATATTGACCAAGACAAATCATTATATACAGTCCGGATTTGAAAAAATAGGACATTGAAGGCTACATGATGACAAGAATTTCATTTAGGACCTTCCGTCGTTGAAAAGTAAAAAAGAAAAATGTTCAGATAACAATTTTCAACTTCCGTTTTTTCCTTTTCGAGTTTTTCTATGTGTAAGACGTCCAAATAAATATTTAGAAATAATCCTGCGATAGGTTGTCAAACATTTTTCCTGCTCAGATAAATAGCTGGCCGCGACCGTTGCAACCATTGTTTACAGGTTGTTTGAGATATTGTAATGTCATAAGGCACTGACCGATGAATACGGTCTCAAGTCCTGTGAACGTGTGTTATGAATTGTTATACCCCGATTAAACAGTCACTATTTAATTTCTTACATTGAAAAGTCCAACAGTTCGACTGTTTTCCCTGACTGTCGGTTCAGAAACTGTTAAAAATGACTGTTGTCCGTTGACGTCAAATGGCGCTTAACTGAGGTATCTTTAAATGTATTTGGTAAAGGATTATAACAAAACAGATATTACTCTTAAAATTGACTGTTAAAAATGACTGTATAATAGTTTCGTGAATTCGATTTTTCTTGTAAGCAATATCAAGTTATTAGATGGTTAAAACTTTTAAAGTATAAATCCAAATAATTTGACCAGAAGAATCAATTTTATAACTCATTATTTTTTATTTTTTGTTTGTTTAAGGTGGGTTTTTTTTTTTTTTTTTTTGCTTGTTTATGTGTTTTTTATGATTTTTTTTATAAGGGGTGTCAATGGCAGAAATAAAAATCATTTATTAAAATAAAGAGCAGGACAATTATCCTTAAAACTTAGTTATCAAGAAATCTCTATCAACGTTCTTTCAAATTTCACTGATGACTTTTAATCTCTGTTCCATCTAATGCTGGTACGCAAAAAGAACTTTTAAAGTAATTTAATGATTTAACATCGTCAAACATATTCGATATATTTGTTAATTGATCTTTTTTATTTGATGGATCATTGTATCCTTCATTTTATTCTTCATGATAAGTAATAGTATTTTACATATATTTCATTTTTATTCCATTGGAATCCACCCAGGATAAATGAAATCATCAATGGAATTATTTCGGAATTCTTTGGCAAAACCTGATCCGGGTCTGAAGATGTTCTTATAAAATATACTGGTTCCTCGCGCCATCCATCCAATCCACCAGCCAAAAGTTCCTACCGACATGATGGTATGATTAGCCAGAGAAAGCAAAGCCATGTCTTCTGCTGGTGAATTCCCTGTGGAGTAGTAAACACTTGTTTCGTTTGCAAGGGCCTTTTTAGACCACCCAATATCATTTGAACCAACAATAAACAATACATTTTGGTATTTTGTTTTGAAATATTTCATGGCATTTTGATAATAAGTTTCATTTGGTGTGAGTTTGCCGTATTTAAAATGTCCTGCTGTTGCATAATCCCCTCTCCGGATATGTATACTGACAACAACATTATTTTTACTTGCATTAAACTTCATCTGATTCAGGATTTCTCTCATCTGTGTGTAAGCTTTTTTCCGTATTGGTTCTTTGAAAGTTAGAATATCCCGAATTTCCTCTTCATATTTTATCCAGTATTTCCATGACTGAAAGTAACCATCAAATCTCACTCCTTTGGAAGGAGGGACACTGAGCAACTTCTCGTCATATGACAGTCCCCATCTTTCTTTGTATAGGGGTAGTTTTGAACATGCCTTGGGGGTTTTATTTATTGCCGAGAGTGTAGTATTTTGAATATTAAACACTTGAACCAGTTCTGAGTTTTCTGGAAGAATAGGGTATAGCATTTTTAACTTTGCTGTTATATACAGAAATACGTATTCAACCATAAGATTTCCGAGTCGTCCTTTGAAATTTACACATACAATATCCTCGACTTGGGTGTAGATAAATATATGTTTCTTCACAATTCGGATTCCTCGTGAAGTTTGTCCTGCTGCCATGTTAGGCCTCCATATTTGTGGTTCATATACATGGATAACCAAAAATAATAAAACACCAAATGTCGCAATAGGGATGCATCCTGAGGAAAAGAAATAGCAATTTAAACATAAATTTAATATTAAATGTTTGTGAATAACTTTTTAAAAAATTTTTTTTTACAAGTTGATATCAGTTAAATTAAAGAAATGTGCATTGTTATGGATATAGAATTTACATAGATTATTCATTGGAATAAATAAGAATTGAATCCATACTTTTCATGTGAAATCTATACCTCCGCATACTGATATCGGCTTCAGACTTGCTCTGAAAAATAAGTACCATTGCCTTTATTTTTCTAATAATAAGTTCTGTCAGAGATTAATATATATACTTCACAAATTCATGACATTCAAGTGTTCGACTCTTTTATCGTCGTTTGGCATTACCATCCATGACTTATTTTAATTTATACATGCATCTCATACTCGGACCTTAAATCACTTATTTTAAAAAGGGTCCTTTTTGAGACACCTCGATCCTTTAAGTGGCGGCGAAATTTTAAAATCGCCAAAAAAGATGTTCATGGATTGAAAGTACAAGTGTTCAATAGAGCGCAATTATCAACAGCTTGGCATTATCGTCCATGACTTCATACAAATGCACATGTATCTCATACTCGGACCTTAAATCACTTATTTTTAAACGGTTAGACGTAATGATAAAAGAATCAGATATATAACATGATCAATATATTCTGGATCGTGGTGGCAAGCCGGTTCATGTAAGACCTTTGTAGGACTCGAGCTCAATATTACAATTATAAATTGCCTCTTAGAGGGACTTGGATCTAATTCCTCTAGGGCTAATTTTAAAGAATATCATAGTTCCTTTTTAAGGATGATTTTCTTTAAATCCAGAAGTCAGTTTTAATACTTTTGTTTTTTAAAACAACTTATTAAATTTGAATTTCCACAATTCCAACGGATTCTAAAAGTTAATAGAAATCCTTGCAATAATACATAACGGGTTCCAATAAATGTACTACGAGACCTCTTCTTTGATCCTTACGAAAATATTAACATCTGTGAATGAAATAATATTTATATGAGATGTGGTTTTCATCAGATGTGCAGAATCAGAAACTCTCAAGGCTAGTTAAATCTCATACAGCAAGAATAAAACAAGCAACTGAATACTAAGCACTTGTCGTTATGATGATTTTTTTTTAAATTTTATTTTTGCATTTTATGTTCAGTGCTAAGTCGATCAAATACTTTTTCAGATTTTATATTTAGCAGAATTTCTTCAGAATCTTGCTATGGCCTTCAATTTGACATAAAGATATATGAACGACGTTTTTTTTTTTTGTTTCAATTAACAATTGTTATTTCCATTTATATGTATGTGTCCCGGTGAGCGTGAAATAAAAGATATTACATAGTCTGATATACATGTATTGCATGCATATTGAATGACATTTTGCTTTGTAAAATAACACGGTCAAAATACATGGGACCACTCTAACTGAACATAGAATCGATGACGAGAAATCCCTTTCGATATTCTTATGCATGTTAAATTTACACACATTCATTAAGGTCATCTATGCATAGAATTATTGAGTATATAAATACATTCAATGTTCAAATGTTTAAATCAAATCGAGGTCATCTTCTTCATATTATTCAGAGATGTAACTACCTCTAAATTCAAACTATCAAAGAATACACACGAACGATAACTCAACCAGCGATGAACTTTGTCTGCAGCTAGAGAGTTTGGAATTACTTGATTAAAAAAACTGTAGTATTGAAGGTATAATACTGAATAAAAGTACTTAAAACTTTTTTGAAAAGGGTAGAATGAAAATCGATACATGTACCTTCTTTTTAAAAATACATTAGAAATCCATCCTTGCAAAGCACTTAAATCTTGCCTACAAAAACACAATTTACTTCCTTTAAAAGCTTTAAAAAATTAGTACATCTCTAAAAAGATTACAGGAAGTTAAATTTACTTCCCCGTTCTGAATTAGACGACCAAAGATTAGTTTTAAATTAAGGATTGCCCTATAGGTCAGAATTATGCAACTGGATGATAAAATGAACTTTAAGTCTTTTCATAAATTTGTTATTTTAATTCTTTTTTTGCAGAAAAAGTACTCATCTATGCAATTAACAAATTAAGGATCAAGATACAAGTAATGAAAATTCATTTTTTGTCAATTTTATAAAAAGAAACTAACTAAAAACAAGTGAGCGACTATACAAACTAAATATTTACAATAATCATCAAAATTTGAAAATCAAAGGCCCTTTGAATGTGCATTGAAAACTTCAGTATTAAATGAGGAAACTGCTAATTATCTCATTACCTGAACATGAATATGATAACAGTTTAGCCAATAAGATTGTTTCCTTTGAATTGAAAATGAAAGTTAAATTTTATAACTATGAAGATTTAAAATACCACATAGAAAATTGTATTTCAAAAAATCTAAAGAACAGTTCAATCATAGTAAATTTGCAAGCAATTCCATGAAGGGATGAGTTTCGTTTCTTTTAAGTATATGATCTCTAAAATTATATTGCTTGATTGGTATTGTTGGAATGGACAACACTACTAAGTCTGACACATATGTTTCGTATTTGGATATTTTAGTTGAAAAATACATTAACGGTAATCTAACAACCTAGCTCTATGATAAACGTGATGACTTTAACTTTTCTATCGTCAACTTCCCTCACATTTGCAGCAATATACCTTCATCACCCGCATGCGGTGTTTATATATCTCTGTTGATTCGATACGCAAGAGCATGCTCTACGTATGAACAATTTTCAAAACGAGGTAAATTATTGAGAAACAAGTTGATGAAACATGAATTCCAGCAGTCTCGTTTAAAGTCATCATTTCGTAAGTTCTATGGTCGATACAATGACCTTGTCAGCAAATAATTTATCATTGAGTCAAATGCTGACTGATGTTTTTCATCCAAATTGTTAGTTATTATTTATACATGTATACTGAATTGACGATGAATTTTCCCGTTATTTCCCGATCATGACAAGGAGTACGGCGGGTGTGACCGGTCAGCAGGGGATGCCAACTCATCCATGGCACCTGATCCCACCTCTGATGTTTTGGAGGTCCGTGTTTGCTCCGCTCCTATTATTGTATTGTTTTATATTTGACTTTTGATTAGATCTGAATACTTTCGTTTCTCCATTATTTTTTATTAAAATACTATTCTTTATCTCCATATATTTGAGTTAGCCCAATTTATAAAGTATACATGATATTTCAAATACCTGTTCAAAAGTGCAGCTTTAGCCATAAGTAAATAAATTTCTCAATTTCACAATATAAAGTGTTCAGGTTTTAATTTGCTGTACTTGTTTTTTTTTTTTTGTTTTTTTTTCTGATAGATGTTTTTCTAGGTTTAGGAAAAACCAAAGGTTTCTTTTTAATATTATGTAACTCTTATCAGATATTTGATTTAACTACGCAAGTCATATTTTAGATAGTTCAAAAACTGATCACATAGTTGAAAAAAGGAGTATTTCTTGTGGCGGGATAATATTTTGAAGAAAATTCATCAAATCTACACATTTATCTAATTTTAAATATAGAACTTAAGCTCTACACATTTTTATTAAAATTCTTTGAAAGGACACAAAATTCCACCGATCAGCATGTCAATAAAAAAATTAAAACAGATGAAGAAAATATGTATGTTTAGATTGTTACATGTAAATATCAAAATAAGATCTTCCAACGTTCGGAGAGGTCAAACAATAATTTACGCATACATGTGTATTAGATTTGAATTATAAAAATAATTCATTTTTTTCATAAAAAGATTATATTCATTGCCATGAATGCTCGATAGTTTTCAGTGAACCAAAATTAACAAGAGTTATTTACCGTTGGCCGCCATATTGAAGGTCGACATGCTCCTATTACTTCATAATTCAACCAACTTTAACTTTTTATACTGACAATATTGTGGGATATGAAGCATTGTTTTTTTATTTAAAAATATATACATTTGTTAGATCCTCCTTTATTTCATCATTTTTATTTCATAATCCCACCCCCAATATTCCTGATACATCCTCTTAAATTTAGTAAGACAAAATGGAAAAAATTACTTGGTTGTCCACCAAGATGGCGGCCAAGGAAAATAATTCGGAGAAGAAATATGTCAAATGAAAATTACATGTATCTATACATTAGTGGAAGTACAAAAAAGTTAAAGTGATCAATGAAACTAAAAGTTACTATTCAATTGCAAAAAAGGTTAAAATAATTAAACCCTTGCTCTGTTAGATGTAAACTGGCCTTTCTTTGCTATTTAAGTCATACATGTGTTATATGAGAAAATTGTAGTTATCTTAAAATCACTTCTCAAATCCTTCATAAAACCTGTCAGGAGTGACAAAACCCAAGGCTTATAACCCATTGGCATCTATATTTGCTAAATATACACATGTATATGTATAATTTTTTTTACCTAAATTGTTGTTTTTTAAGGTCAGGATCTAGTAAATGACTTCCTTCTTCAATATAATGGATCTTTGTCAATGGTCAAAGTCACGTTGTTAAAAATCAACCTTATTTAAAGCACAATTCCTCTGAAACTGATAGTCAAAGTGTACTGGAGGATATCTTCATTAACAGTATCTATGTAGTATTCATGATCAGAGACTAGGTTTCCGAGTAAAATGTGGACACAAATCTTACTCTTTCACTGTTTGACTTGTTTACATATTTCTATGAAATAGAATTTTTTCTCACAATTATACATGCGTAAAGAAAAAAAAATGATTTATTCATATGCAATGCAATATAAAGATAATAAGCGGTAAACAAACAAATAGGAACACTAGAACAAAGCAGAGCAAGCACAGACCTCTATAAATATCAGGAACGAGATCAGTTGTAATAGTTGTTGAATTTGTTTAATATTGTGTAGGATAAATAAGTAAATGAGAAAAATATTTACGACACTGAAGTCAATAGAACGTTTTCCTAAGACATATTTTGCCTTGCGGTTCTTTCAAAACCGCCAAAAAAGGGTCAAAGTAGTAAAATCCTCTTTTCCATTGCAACTTTAAACATGTATGCAAGAAATACACGAGGAAAAATATTAACGATAATGAAATTATGAATAAAACAAGAGGTCCATGGGCCATATCGCTCACCTGAGCATTGGCTAGGAAAATAACAAAAAGCTTTCATCGATCATTGTGGCTCCACCCTACCCCTGAGGGTCATGATTTGAAGAATCTTGAATACATATCACCTGATGATGCTTCGAAAAAAAAAGACCAATCATAGTTGTTGTCCTTGAGAAAAACATTTTTCCTATATATTCCTATGTACGTTTTCGATCGACCATTGTGGCCCAATCCTATCCCCAGCAGTCATGATTTGAACAAACTTGAATCATCACCACCTGAAGATGCCTCCATATCAATATGCCCAATTATGTCTATGTTGTTCTTGAGAAGCTTGAGCGAACTTGAATCCACGCTACTTGAGGATGCTTTCACATAAACATGACCAATTATGGCTTTGCTTCCCTTGAGAAGAACATTTTTTCTATATATTCCTATCTAAAACTTTGATCAATCATTGTTGCCCCACCCTACCCCCTGGGTTAATGATTCGAACAAATTTGAATCTACACAAGCTGAGGATGCCTCCATATAATTATGACCAATCATGTCCTTGCTGTTCTTGAGAAAAGATTTTTAAAGATTTTCCCTATACATTACTATGTAAAACTTTGACCGTCCATTGTGGCCCCACCCTACCCCTAGGGTCATGACTTGAACAAACTTGAATATACACTACCATATGCTTCCATGAGTTTCATCTTTCCTGACCTTATGGTTTTTGAGAAGATGATTTTTCAAAAAATACCCTTAATTTTTCAATAACTCCTAATTATCACCCCTTAGAATAGGGCATTACCCTTTATTTGAACAAACATGAATCCCCTTCACCCAATGATACTTTGTGGCAAAATTTAAAATTGGCCCAAAAGCTCTTGAGAAGAAAATGAAGATGTGAAAAGTGTACCGCGACAGACAACGGACAAATTTTGATCAGAAAAGCTCACTTGAGCCTTCAGCTGAGGTGAGCTAAAAAGGCTTTAACAAACGTATATTCACAAGAAAAATAGAATAATGTTATTATCAACTTCAGTGGCCAGTTTAAAAATTGAACTTGTTTGGATAATTATTCATTATAATGAAGGGATCTAAGAATGTAGCCTCACAATATGGCGGCCATGGGAAATAAATCTTGTTTAAATCAATTTGATGGAAAACCATCTGTAGAAAAATTTAAACGTTGATTGGTCATCATGACAAGATGTTACACATGTACCTGCATTACCAGTACTATCTTAAGCATGTAATATTAAACTTTATTTGAAAAATCGACAGTAAACATTTGTAATATAATTTGAAATTTAATCATGAGTCATATTTCATCATATTAAATTGTTGATTAATATGAAAGTGCAGATTTCAAAGCATTAATTTATATTCAGACTATGTACCTCCCCTCCAAATACCTCTGACCCAGGGGCCCGGAAATTAACCATTTTGGAAGAGGCAACTTTTTCATCATAAATATTTACTTAGATCATTGGCATAATAGCATAATATCCAGGAGCAAAGAAAAAATTTTCAAAGAATTGACATGCATTTTCATTATATAAATATTAGAACCCCATCCAGGGGACATGAAATTCACAAATCTCAAAGAGGCATCCTTCCTCCTCAAAATTATGTACATAGTTCATTGGTTTAATACCCAAAGAAATAATTCATTTTCCATATAATGAAACCTAAATGAAAATAAGTCTTCTAATTACATTGTGTATTTAAATAAATTCGCTTTAAACTACTACAAAAGAAACAAACATTTTCAGTTTAGATAAATAGAACCATAATACTAAAGTCAAAATTATGCTCCTACATGTATAATTATTGAAATCCTTGTTTGCAATTCATTTTCAACTTTATGAGTACATGTATATGGCATTTTATTTGTTAAATTCAACAGAAAACAATTAAGTTTTCATTACACATGCCTGAATAATAGGTATTTTAAAATTGGTTTTAAAACATGGGACTTTGTTGCCCTAATAAACCAGGTGTATTGACATCAAATGCTTCAACTCTGTGTAATAATATGCAATGTAATACGAAGGTTAAAACAATTAATGATATTTGAAGTTTAAAACGATAAACAAACAAAAAGTACCCCTGGAACAAAAAAAATGAAACAAATGAAACACAGACATCTAGAAACATCAAATGTGGGGTTAGTTATTGAATTCTTTGTTGAATTCGTTTAATGGTTTCAAAGATTTTAAGCACATGTTCATACAACAATAATTATAATTTTTGTCCAAGAGGAAAGTAAATGCTCCGTGAACAGAATATCGTACAAACCTCATTAGCATGTCTCGGGTCTGATTACTAATCTTAATACGTACATAACAATTAAACTTTGTTAAAAATTACCATATGGTTACAGTTAATAAAATGGTTTAAAGCCTACTATTAAATAAATGTGCATCGGTAGAGATATTCTGAGATGCTTTTATAAAATTTTCGTTTGACCAAACTTGTGACTGCATACATGAATGCGTTCATTTGTATATCCCGAGTTCATAAACCTTGCCTATAGAAGATTATGTGTTGACAGTGCAGCTAGATAGACTGGTAACCACCAGTCTCAATGCTAAGAGTTGTATAACTTATTATAATGGGGTATTATTTTTAATTTCTACCGAATTCGAACCTAGTTAAAAAATGTGAATAAGGAGGGAAATTATTCTATGTAAGTTTACAGGAAAAATTTTAAACCCAGAAAAAAAACTACACGAAAAAGTACAAAAATGTAAATCCGGAAATTGACATGCTCCATAAAACACACATAGTTTCAATCGGTACATGTTTTTGTCTGTAGATTATTCCGCTTACTTGTTCAATACAGAGAGCTTATGGCAGCTAAAAGGGTGACATACAGAGATGTTTAAAAATGTTAACAGATCTAGATCTAGAAATATTATTACACATGACCATGGTGAGGATATCTGTGCTTCAGTCCTGGGAACGATTTCTTTTGCCTACAATTAAACTCTGTGAGATTTATCAGTTTGTTTTATAAGCTTCTCTTCAATGTTATGCTTTATCATTAGTCCTTTTATTTTCATCTTTAATTTCTTTCATTACATTCTCTAATTTTGAAAATATTTAGATCTAGATACCCAGAAAAGTAAGGGGTCTCTATATGAATGGTTGATGCCACTGAAAAAGTTTAAAGTTAATCGGAGTGAAGTTTGACTTCGAGCAACCCCGGCCTTCGGGTCACGAATTTTAGAAAACAATATCAACTATGTAATTTTTTTTCAAAAAAATCTCTCTCTTTGCTACACAGGATAAGAACGAAAGCACAAGATCAATTTGGTTGAATATAAAACGCGATGCCGTATTTTTAAATTACTTTTTGGGGACAATATATATAATGTCCGAACTTATAAATTAATTCCTTTTCCTTTGGGATAACTTAAAGTAAACTAGAAAAAATAAGAATAAAAGAATCTTTCAATTTACTCAATGCTTATACATCCTTTAACGAAACATTATAGATTTTCCCCCGTCTAAAGCACAAAGAGAAAAATGAAATAATTCATTGTCTTGAAAAATACACGGATTAATATTAATTTCAGTTTAATCTCATAAAAGAAAATCTACATGTAATACCATAAATTTAGATTCCATTGAATAACAATTATATAATTAAACTGATAAAAGATAATATTGAGAAAATTATTTACATGTATTTAAAGTACTAATGATGAATTGATCATTTATTGCCTTCGTCTTTCCCTCAGTATTTTAAATACATTTTACTTTTATTCCATTGGAATCCACCCAGGATAAATGAAATCATCAATGGAATTATTTCGGAACTCTTTGGCAAAACCAGTTCCGGGTCTGAAGATGTTCTTATAAAATATACTGGTTCCTCGCGCCATCCATCCAATCCACCAGCCAAAAGTCCCAACCGACATGATGGTATGATTAGCCAGAGAAAGCAAAGCCATATCTTCTGCTGGTGAATTCCCTGTGGAGTAGTACACATTTGTTTCGTTTGCTAGGGCCTTTTTCGACCACCCAATATCATTTGAACCAACAATAAACAATACCTTTTGGTATTTTGTTTTGAAATAGTTCATGGCATTTTGATAATACGTTTCATTTGGTGTAAGTTTGCCGTACTTATAATGCCCCGCTGTTGCATAATCCCCTCTCCGGATATGTATACTGACAACAACATTATTTTCACTTGCACTAAACTTCATCTGATTCAGGATCTCTCCCATCTGTGTGTAAGCTTTTTTCCGTATTGGTTCTTTGAAAGTTAGAATATCCCGAATTTCCTCTTCATATTTTATCCAGTATTTCCATGACTGAAAGAAGCCATCAAATCTCACTCCTTTTGAAGGAGGGACACTGAGCAGCTTCTCGTCATATGACAGCCCCCATCTTTCTTTGTGTAGGGGTAGTTTCGAACACGCATTTTTCGGCTTTTTTATTGCCGAAAGTGTGGTCTTTTGAATATCAAAAATTTGAAACAATTCTGAGTTTTCAGGAACGATAGGGTATAGTTTCTTAATCTTTGCTATTACGTACAAAAACACGTATTCAATCATAAGATTTCCGAGTCGCCCTTGAAAATTTACACATACAATTTCATTAGAGTTGTTGTTGTCAAATATTTGTCTCTTCTTAATGTGGATTTCCTTAAATCTTTTTTCAGATATCCCAAGCGGTTGCCAAGTTTGTGGTTTATACACGTGAAAAATGAAGAAAAGACACACAATCCCAAATGTTACCAAAGGAAAACATTCTGAAAAAAGGTATTTTAATTAAACATATGTGAAATGTTTATTCGATACCTAAAAAATACATGAATAATTTTACAAATACTTTGTTTATTCAATTTTCTAGAAAAGTATAATCTATTTTGTTCAGCCTTAATAAATATTTATAATAACTGTACATGGATATAGTTTGAACTGTCTTGAATTCTTACTTCTTATATAAAGTATCCGCATTCCGGCGTCAGCTTCTGAACATTATCTGCAAAATAGGTATCAGTAATCTCATAGTTTTTTTTACGTTGAACAATATGAAAAATTCATCCAAATAAAAGAGCAACATTTGGGTTGGAATTAATTAGTGATTTGTTTTAAGTATCTTAGTTCTTGGTAACTACAACAACATCTACAGTGTATCTGAATATAAGACTACATTGTTTTACTAATATTTTATCCTAGGTAACTATAGACTCCTTGATAGTGCACCATCACGGAAGCTCAGTAAGTAAATCGGTCGAGCTGCAATCTGAGGGCCGTTGGTTGGCACGATAAGATATCTCACTGATCCATGAACCTGATTGCTGAAAAGGGACCTTATTAAAGCCCTTAACGTGACAATGATGCCTTTTCTATGTGTATGGATGTCAAATAACATACACTCAAATGTTTTACACGCTAGACAAATCAAATTAAGACTTGTTTATAAGAATTGTAAATCATACGCGACGAGCTTAAGTGTCTCTTACATCAGTATTACAACGTCAATCGTGATTCATAATGTTCCTTAACGTCCAAACTTAACATTTATTAGGTTTTCCTTTTTTCGGGGATGAGGCGCGATATTTTAAGGTATTGACAAAGCTCAAGATGTTCAAAACTTTATTTTGACAATAGCTCCAAAACAACGTGAGGTACAAAGTGAAAACTTTTACAGTTTATAAATATATATCATTGATAAACAGATAAAAAGTATCATTTGAGAACAAAAATTTAAAATATATATTTTTGAGGAAAAAAATATCATAAAAACATTTGCATATATTTTTTTATAAATGCACCTGCTCAATACTGTACTTTTAGTGAAAACCATCATTGTAAAAATAATATATGTTTATCAATGAAGGGCAAGTTGGACGTGAATGGTCTCTGAAATGCTCTTTTCGAAAGCATGAAATGTATAAAGACAAGGCCCCTATAAAATTCGCCATTTGCAATGTACTTTCGGTTTCAAGTCTTACCATTTAGATAAAATAAACTGGGAAAACAGCTCTCCAGAGGCTATCGAATTCAAACTTGCCCTTCATTGATAAACATAATTTATTTTGTTTCTACTTATGTCATTCACTAAATGAACGGATATACTTGGGTGTGATTTATAAAAATATATGCACTTTTTAGAAGAATTTTTCCCGATGAATATTCTTATTAAAGCATTTGTTATCAAGTGATACTTTTAATCTGATAATCAATAATATATTTAAATCTGTAAAAGTTTTAACTTTATAAACCACATAGTTTTGGGGGTATTGTAAAAATAATTTTTTGGGCATTTTGTCCTTTGGCAAAACCTTAAAGTTTCATAAAAGATCAATTTATCCAAAAATTTATTTTTACAATAGCTCCAAAAACTTTGTTCCAAATTTGAAATTGGACAAGGATTTAAAAAAAAAAATACTGAGGGGAGCAGGACAAATGTAGTTTAAAAGACTAATATTGTCAGTGGCATTCTTTTTAAATTTTGAAAAATCTTGTAATACCTGTAACTTATGACTTTTTAAGAGTAGCTCGGGTTTTTTGGAGTGCTTGAAAGCTTTTGGTTGCTGAATAATTAAATGAATATACCTTAGAGAGTATGTGATGCTTGAGGATTGGGAAATGAAATTATGCGAGAAGGACATCAAGATACTCCTCTATGGGTTTTGTTGAATTCTCCTCAAATGTCGGGGGTCTTGCTGTACGCCTTAAGTCGGAGTGGTGTATTTCAAAATTGTGAACGTTATTGTGAAAGTTTAACATCCATACAAGCACAATAGCACAGCAGAATATAAATAGGCCATATCTGTGTTTGTTTACCATGCTCCACTTCTGTAAGAAAAAAAAATAAATAGGTAATCAAAGATAACAAAGCTTACATCGACTAATGTAAATTATACACATGTAAAGAAAAACCAGTTTCTTTCTTTTCTAGTTAGAGTGGTATGTTAGGAGGTTTAATTTAAGTAGGACACATAATTACTTGAGAATGGATCTCTTCCAAAACTTTTTAACCAGTTTACTCCTATAAAATGTAAAGCACTTCCAGCATCCGAAGCAAAAGTGATATTGACCATCTCTAGTCATAAGTTCAAATAGTTGATTTTTTTAAAAATCTACCTGCATTTCAGCAATATAAAGCCAAGGTTGCTTTACACTTTACTGAACACCCCGTGTGTCGAGTGAACAATTGAGGTGTCAACGACCAACCATTAACAAGTCTCCAGTGGTAGATAATCCATTGGAAAAGTGCTATTCCTTGAGCATTTATAAATGTTTACCATTCAAAAATTCGTTATCTAATCGCATAATATGTTTTCTATCTATAAAGATACATCGAGATCTGCTTTATATGTCAAGCACCCCTATCACTGTTAGTAAAAACACAAACACACAATTCTTAAAATAGAGATTGGGGCAATTGTCAGTGATTTTTCTATTTCACAAAAAACTTTATTCTGAACGTTTACAACATATTTCAAATACGATTAACCCTTTTAAAATTTCAACTCAATCTTAAATCATCCCCAAAACTTGTATGAATGTCCACACATTAATTCATAAAACGCTTGTTTTTAACTGCAAAATTTAATTTAAAAAAAAAACATCAGATTGTTTTTAACTGTAAAAGATAGACATCAAACTTTTCAAACAGTTCTTGAGGCGTGCATTTTTAAATGAACTCTTCATAGGTTTGCCACAAAAGAGGGATATAGAAAAAGTGGGTTTCTTTTTAACAGGTTAAGTATCTTAAAATACCTTACTGAAGCTTTTTGAGAAATATTAAAAAGTTCCAAAAGTTTTATATCTGTTAATTATATTGATATTTTGAAATTGCTTTGCTTAGGTTAATACGCTACATAATCATACAAATTTACATCTAAATGTAAATCTCACTAAATGATACTCCCCGCATCCAATTTGAATATTGTGGCAAAGTCCACGTTTTGCTCTGGGAGACCCGAAATAAGTGTCCGATCAAAAAGTAAAATAGGATATGCACAATGGAACTATGTCACAAATATACTGTGAAAGTTTTTTTTTTAATTTTATAAATTTGTTTAAGAGGAGTTGCAGATAAGAGATGGGTACCCAAAAGCGAAACAAATGGACGTACAGACAGACTTACAGACGGACGGACAACCTGTTCACTAAATACCTTTCCGCTTTTCAGGCGGAGGTATAATCATGGACGTTGCCATTATAATAATTTGTGAGGCGGGTGTATCAGTTAGTGAGCTCTGAGTGCTCACGGTTACTCTGGTTTCTACTATACTAATAGATCTAAAATACGACTGACCGTTTCCTCTAATAGAGAAACGAATTATTATTCCCCCGCTTGAAAAGTGGAAGGGTATATAAAAATCGTGATGTCCGTCAGCCATCTATACGTCCGTCTGTTACGCTTTGGGGTACCCATATTTTATTCACAACTCCTCTCTTACCATTTAATAAAACTTTCACAGAATCTTTTATTACATATTGCCATTGTGCACCTCCTATTTTACTTTTTGATCCGACACATATTTTGGCCTTCCCAGTGTAAAACATGGACACTGCTATTATATCCATATGGGAGGCGGGGTATCATTTAGTGAGCTCATTGCTCACAGTGCCTCTAGTTTTACTAGGTTTCCAATATGCTTTTCCATTTAACACCAGAGGACAAATTTGTTTGTTTATCTGCGTATAGAAGGCAGACGATTTTGGCTTTTGTTGCATTAAAATAGCCTTTTATCTGTTAAAAATTTGCTTGTACGCATTTAAAAATTCATTATTTTTTATGAATGTACGTTACCAAATCAGTTTTCTACATTATTTTATTGTCTTATCGCTTAAATCACCGTGTTTAAATATGAAGGGGAATCTGTGGAATTTAACAGCCACGCTAAATAAACAGTGTTTAAACAGCGAAAATCGACACATGTGGTCTAAATAAGTATTTCAATCTATAGTCAAATATTCATTTCAATTTCACAGGTTTAAAACATGTTTTTGATCTGTATTTTTTTTTAATGAGAATAATATCTGCGGCATTTCTCTGTTCTCTGCATGATATCGTAGTAAAATGTTCGATGATTATCATATAATTTCATCTGACAAAGAATGTTGATCAGAATTGTATGGATTTTTTTCTTGGTTAAATGGCGGTATGGTTATATAACACCTGCAGGGGTGTGTAGACCTCGATCTTGCATGACTGGAGTGTGCACTGTTTGCTAGAGACTTAAACCTGAGGTCTGTTCTACAGAGCGTTTCTATCGGAGGTAAAAAGAACGTCCGCTCTGTTGAACAGGGCTATTGAACAACAAGTGCAGTTTTTTTCTCTCAAGGATCAGCTGAGCACAGTGAAAATTCAAGTTAACTCAGAGTCGAATATCATGGATATGGAGTAACCCATATCTTTAGTTATATAGAGCAGCGTTTTGTGGAATGTATTCCGACCTATTATTTTTATAAATTAAATCTTTTTGCACTCATGTACGCTGATGATATGGTAATTTTTGCAGAAAGTGTAGATAAATTACAATCTATGTTAAATACACTGCATGTATAATTATACTACAAAATGGGATCTAACAATCAATATATAAAAGACTAAAATTGTTATATTTAGAAATTATAATTACACAGAAGCAACTATCTAGACTACACAAGGTAGAAAGGCTATGTTCTCTTTAAAAGCTAAAACAAGTGAAATGTATTTGAATACAGAGACAAACATGTTGTCTTTATTTGACACTTATGTTGCTACTGTATTAAACTATGGATGTGAAATTTGGGGTTTTCATAATGCAAAAGATACAGAAAGTGGGCATTTGCAATATTCAAAATATGTTCTAGGTGTAAGAAAAAATACAAACTCTGTAATGATCTATTGTGAAAGTGGAAGACATCCATTGAAGGTAGTAAGGTTACTTAGAATTATCAAATTTTGGTTCAAGGTGTTAAAAAGTGAAAATTGTATTCTGTTAGCCTGTTATAATATGCTACTAGAGAAATATGAAAAGAATAAGTAAAATATAAATAATTGGGAAACAAACATAAAAGGAAAATTGTTTAAAATTAGGCTAGGTGACGTTTGGTATAGTCAGGAAAGTATTCAAATGAAAACACATTTCCCTATCATTAAACAGAGGATTGTAGGTATTTTTATCCAAACAAGTTTTGAGCAAATAAATTGCTAATCAAGATGCAAAAGGAGTATTCCACTTAAGTATAGTAACGAGGTCCCTTTTTTTACACTCTTGGTTTACTGGTTACATATGAGCAAAGAGTATTTTGTTTGATTTCATTGTGTATAACAAAGTATTTTCAATGTTCAACAAAGATATTTTACTGAACCTTTACACATACAATATACACATTATATATCAAGCTCGACTCTGAACAAACCTGTGCTCGGTGTTAACGAAAGCTATAAAGTTTGTATCTGTCAGTGATTTCTTTTCATATTCATGAAAATCAAAGGACCCTAACTTCAGCATGCATCTTCGTATGCTGCGTGTATCTATTATTTGACATTTTAGATGATGACTCAAATAATAAAGACATTAGTTAATAATAAAATTTAATTTTTAAGGCTTTTGATAAATGTTCAAAATTTGACGAGTAACCGGGAACCACAGATAAGCCTTATTGAAACTTGTCCTTTATGAGCATATCACTGATAATTTTTCTTTCCAATATTAATTAACAAAAGCTATTCCTACCAAATATATGAAGTAATTAAGTAAAATACGTATGTCGTCCCATAACCTAGCTATTGAATGTGGTTGTCACAAATATATACCAGCAAATGATAGATATTGTGAAATGTGCCATTTAAATATTGAGGATGAATTTCATTTTATTTTAAAATGTCCTCAATTTAGTGATATTAGATGTCGAAACATTAAGAAATGTTATTGAAAAAAACCTTCAGTTTTCAAATTAATTTATCTGCTTAGTATTTACCTCCATCATGCTTTTGAAGTACGTAAAAGTGTCACAAAATCAATTTCTGTCAAAAGTTAAGGATAAACTTTATATTGTTTAAGTTTATTACTATCTACCATTATATATCACATATGTTTAATATATATTACCATGTCAAACAACCTATCATTTGATGTATGTTATATTCACTTGAATAATGCTATTAGATGTATGTCTTGGGCAATAAATCTTTCCATTTGAGGTCCACTGTTTTTGTAAGATATACATATGAAATGATACTAGTTTGTAAATATTACTGTTTTATCGTGTCAAAAACTTGATATAAATACATCACCGGTAATTGCCTAGTGGTTTTCACTTTAAATTTTTAAACTTATATATGAGGCTCACAATAGGCGAAAATGGGAAAAAAAAAACTCTTTAAGTTTACATTCAAGAAAATTCAAAGATGCAAAATTGTTTCAAAAGCTTAAAAAGCAAGAAATCTCTATGTTCTCTATGATCTATGTAAATTATTTTTTTATTTATGCAAAAGCTTAAAACATTTATATTCAATACTGATACTGAATTACTTAAATATTAACTTAGAATTGTTTTCAGAAAAATAGCTCGAACCGTTTAAAAAATGAAATACACTTACGTGGTTTGAAATTAAGGTGACTTGCTCCACGGCAGGGCAATGACCTACATTAAATCACCTTTATAGAAAAAACTGTTAAACTAGACATCTAGCTATTTATGCGTTCACCTTTGTGCATGAAAGACTTACACCACCGACAATCCAGTAAAAAGTTAAATTAATAGGGCGAGAAAATTTTAAATCCTTTAACAAAGTCCACCCGCTGACGTTGAAAAAATCTAACCACCATTTTGTCAACTCTACCATGCATGAACCATGAAGTGTTTCCTTTTGATTCTGATTGGTCCATATAAATCTAGCAGATGCATCTATCCGTAAATTTATAATTATATTTTTATCGACAAATCAAGGTGTTGTCCTTGCCATTTGGAACATTTTAAAAATTTTATATGCATAAACTGACATTGATACAGACATAATTTTGAGTGATATTATTACTATCACCATGAAAAGTAAAAATCCAGATTTTTATTCTGAAGTTTTAGTTTATAAAATGAAAATTCTCAGGTTTTAAAAGTGGGGCCATCGGGAAACAAACCTTATAAAATTAGGAGATTTGCAGATTCTTTCTCAGAAATAGATTTTAATTCGCTTAATCAAAGTGCTGTAACAAAACACTTTTTAAAAGTGGAAAGTGTTAATTTCGAGGAAGGTTAAAACTCGATGTTTTCTCATGAATTTGCTTTTTTTGTAGCAACTTAACTTCCTTGCGTTTGGTTTCCCTGACTTTTTTGCGTGGACCCTGAGATCCATGCAGTAAATATATAAGCGAGGTTAAACCGGATGCATAAATTTGCTTTTTTGTAGCAACTTCCTTGCCTTTGGTTTCCCTGACTTTTTTCAATTTTGCTTTGACATTTTTTTTTACATGAATATTCACTACACCTAGAAATTTTCCTAAATTGAATTTGGATTAGAAATACATATTTCACCTTTATTTCACTCTTCTTTTTTCTTTTAATACCGTCCGATTTTCATCTGTTATCACTGCCGTCCGATAATATATCGGACCGAATTGTACCGGACTGGTAAATATTATTATCGGACGGCTACAGGTAAGATTTTAGACAGCAAAAACAAAGGCATGCCGTCACAGCAATGTTTTAAAATTGAATAAATTGCTCTGTTGTATTTTATTTTCACTTTTTCACTATACGAGACTAATTTCCCGAGGTGAAAAAGTAGATCAAACATGGAGTGATAATTACGCTGAGTTAGAATGTTGTGATGACCGTGGATAAAAATAGTATGTGATAGATTTGTGTCGATTCAATGGTTTTTATTTAAAACTGTGATTATATATTTTCATAACTTTTTATTAAAATAAAAATAAAGTTTTCATCTATTTTTAATGAGACTGTAGCTAAACTACAGGCCTATACTTAAAACAAAGGAAGAGAAAAATCGTAGTAAAATTAGCATGTTGTTTCGTTGACTATATATATTTTTTACTTTAAAACAGCAATAAATAGAAAAATGTACATCCTTCTTGCCTTGTCATCAATATTCAAAACTCTTTTGATGCAGTGATGAATTATGTAAAAATCTTGAGTGTAAAATCTTGTTTACTTGTGTGCCAAGTGATGTGTGTGTTCTAAATCTTGAAATATTCAAAATCTTGTGCCAAAACTGTAGGAGGAGTATATATTTTTTGATGTATATGAATTTCACAGAAATTTCTATTTTTGTGTGTGTTCTAACCAAGGTATATTCAAAATCTTGTTCATATTCGAAATCAAAAACCGATGCACAGAAATATGTATCTTAGTGTAGTCTACTTGTGTGCCAAGTATTATTGAAATCAGACCAAAACTGTAGGGGGAGTAGCATTTTGAAAGAATTTCACAGAATTTTCTACTTTTAGTAACCATGGCAACACCGTTCATCGAAATCAAAAACCGATGCACAGAAATATGTATCTTTTACACGTAAATAATATTTATAAATCATAACTTGTGTGATATATCCAAGTTATATTTTTGAAATTGGATATTCAAATCTGTAGGAGGAGTTTTCGTTTAGCATTTTTGAAAAATTGTTTACAGGCAGACAATGTTGGCAGAAGGACGGACGTTGGCCGGACGCATTACTATCGCATAAGCACTTCTGGTCTCTGACCAGTAGAGCTAAAAATAAAGTTCTGATCTATTTTTAATGAGGGAATTAAGCGGTAAAGTTGAACAACGGTCAATTACTGTTGTGACGCTAAATGTTTTACACGCCATAAAATAATATTTGTAAATCATTGAACCCAAAGCTTTTCGCTTAATATTTCAGATATATCCTATTAGGTGAAAAATTATATAAACATTTTGGTTTTTGTATTTTTGGGGTTATATTCACGAACAAATACAGTACCTAGCTAGAGAACATTTTCTTTTTTGGGCTACAATGCATATGCTCTTGTTTGACTAATATCGAAAGTATTAACAAGCTTTTAAAATCTGTGAGGTATTACATGTTTATGGATCAATTTAGGTAATGATTATAAATAAGAGAGTATCGATTCATTATTTCAGCACATGGGTGCCAGACAGAAATTGGAGACAAAAATTCTGTTTCAGTGACCTAAGATTGGCTATAAAAAATTTTTTTTTCCGCTTTAAAAATAAATTAGATTATACGCGTATTATCAAAGTTTCAAGTTAAGATTTAAAAATATGAATCATTTGGTAGGCTTAATACAGTAAAGACTTGAATATTGAACAATGATAAAAGCTATTAAAAAAGCATCCCTTTATAACTCTTTTTGTTTTTAAGATGCCCATGACCAGAGAAAGAAAATTCAAGGAAATAGTCAATTTTTACTTTAAATTAAATGTATCTTTTTACCAACACTCTTATCCCAGGGGCCAAGATATTCATAATTTTGGAAGAGGCACTCTCACTCATCACAACCAAGCTTTTGGTATGTTTCCTTCACAATAATGGACAGAAAATGAGGTTTATATTAAAAAATTATATTACATACTATAAAATAAGGTAAATAAATATATTCAAAAGAGATTCCCCGACCCCGGTTTTTTTTTAAAAAAATACATTAATAACTTACCATCACCATACAATTAGTTTTTCTGTTAAATACCCCGGGGCAGAGAAGTTGATTTGCCAGAAAGAATGTATCTCCACCATATATATGAAATAGACACCACAACATGAAACTCTGACCTTTGGACCTCCAATTTCACAATTTTTGAGGAGGCATCCTTGATCATTATCATTATTTTAACATGCATTTAGTTTATCTGCTAAATACTTAGGAACAGAGAAGATTCGATCTTCAAATCGATTTACAACAAATTAAAGCAATTTCACTAAATAGTATATGGAGTCCTATTTTCCCTACCAGGAACCCAAATCGCGGAGTAAAGATATTCACAGATATGAAAGAAATGCCCTTGCTCATCATGACTATCTACTTGCACTCTTCACTGTATTGTTGATCTGCGCAATACCCAGGGGTAGAGAAGTAGTTTTCAAAGAAATTAATAAAATGTACGTCGCTATATCATTAATAGAATGCCCCTCATGCGGAACCCCTCACCCTGAGGCCACAAATTTCAAAATTTTGGAAGAGACACCCTTGATAATCAAAGCCATGCACCTCATAAATCTTTACATATAGGTGGAAAGAAGATTTCTCAAAGAATTAATGTTTAGTTATTTGTTGTTTAACGTCCTTCTCGAGAATTTTTGCTCATTTAAAGACGCTATGCCACCACTTGTCAGTGGAAAACTGCTAAATTTTGACCTGACTATATACTTGCGGGCGGTAGGAAAATGAAGCATAGAAGGATTTGACCCCGGGGCCATGAATTTCACGTTTTTAGAGGACTCAATGCTTATTACAATCATGCCAACGATTTAACTGCTTGATGTCCAGGAGTAATGAAGATTTTTATAGGTTGCATTAATTTTAGTGGTATTTGGCCTATTTGCTCTATCTCTCAGGCCGCAGGGGAGCAGGGACAATGAGTAAGCTTAGGTGACCTTCAAGTCTGTAAAACAGTGTGTCGTGCTGTGCAGCCTTTTTAAGGACATACGCAACGTAGTTTGAACTTTTTTTGTCTTTTTCCATGGAGTGGAAGAGTTCCAATTCTTGAAGGATTAGTGTACCTTATTTTAATGTCTATATATGGTGTTTTACACTTCTTCTAAAACATTTTTGATAAAAGAAACATCTAGAATATGTGTTTATTATTTTTTATATATTTTTCTTTAAATCATCCAAGAATTTTCATCAACTGAAATCTTTTAAAACACCCTGGTAATGCATGCTGATTTTTTGTCTATGGACATCTGATGACACTATTATCTTAATTTAGGAATATCTTGAAAAACTATCAGTGGGTAAGGTACGTTGCATATGTCCTTAAACCGTACATGTATATTTACGATCAGTCAAGCATGAAGATTTAATTATTAAATCTTTGATTGGGTATGAGACATTGGTGGAATGAGAATTTAAAAATAACACATAAACAAGAAATGTCGGGCAGCATTTCCAAGATAGCTATTTTCATGAGTATCTTAAAATTGAATTCTAATATCAGTTTGAAGAGAAACAAATAATCATCTATAAGATCTGTTTAACAAGATTACAGATGCAAACAGAGCAGCTCATGTAACTTCTGTATTTTTTTTTATACATTAAAAATTACAGCTAGAGCACTTTTTAAGCTCACGTGGTTTGTCGCACAAATTAAAGGTCACATTGTTACAATGCGAATTTGTGTAACAAGGCAACAAAATATATCTTCAAAATGATATTTGAATTAATTGAAATCTTATTTCATTTAATTAAGTCATAATTTACACAAATTAATTGGTAAGATTTTGATTTGCTTTTGGCTGAGGGATTTTGATACCACGTACTTCCCGTTTCAGACTGTAAATATATAATAATTTTCTATTCAACAGAAACAATTTACTTTATTTCAAATACTTTATCATCCTATCTATTGGCATGATTTCTTTAGGCAGCATTGTCTTTTTTCGGAGCCATATTTCGATAAAACCAGACGAGTATGGCAGATGTGCAATACTTAGAATAAAATTCTCACCTTGAACAAGTCAGTTTGAAAATTCACCTAAATAGTATTATTATATTAACCACTCTTAAAGCTTTCAGAATTATTTTTCGATGGAATTTTGGCACTTTGGAAGTTTGTTTTCTTGTGAAACGTCTTGATTACCATATTCAGACCATCCGGCTGTTCTTTTTTTCAAATATACATGTATTACCTTC